GGAGGGGGGGAGAGAGAGAGAGAGAGAGAGAGAGAGAGAGAGAGAGAGAGAGAGAGAAGGAAGAAAGGAAAGGAAAAGGAAAAGGAAAGGAAAGAAAAGGAGAGAGGGCTCCTATACTAGCTGGTATGTACCAATCTCCTTCCCTGCTGCACATCTTCAGTTCTGGACCTGTGAGATGATCAATATAAATCTATCCTTTTAGAAATGAGAAATTTGAGAAGCAAAGTGTTGTGATTTTGAAGTTACTTGGGTGGTTGGTGATAAAAAAATAAACAGCTAGTTACACAGGGGCAAGTGGTGGTGTGGGGAGATCCACTGATCTCAGTGCTCCTGTGGAACTCCAGGAAGGAGGCTGTGTGGCCACTGAAGACCAAAGGATCCAGCCTTTCCGGTGCTTGTATTTATCATTATTCACTTAGGAAGCGTGGAAAGAGAAATGTCAATTATACACTTACCAATGTAATACCTCTACCAGGACTGTAAGTTCTTATCATAACAATCTGTTAGCCCCTTGTGATTATCATATTCCCAATTATTAGCCACTTTTACATTCCGGTCGCCGTTCCCAGCTTACTCTAACAGCATCTACGACACAGTGGGCTCTTGTAAATATTGATAGAATTAAACTGAACCCTATGGTAGCATACTTAGACGAGTGCTTTTCAAACGTTAAGGTGCATGTGAATCTCCCGGGGACTTCGTTAAGATTCAGATTCAGAGTTAGAAGTTCTGTTTAGGACCTGAGATTGGGCATTTCTACCGAGTTCCCATAAGATGCTGATACTGCTGTTCTACGGTCTATATTTTTCAAGGTCTCAGAAAATGAGTCCTCTCTCTTCATATACAAAATATGAGTCTCACAAAGTGTGATCATTTAATGAGTTTACAAAGAAGGCATAGAAATACACTTTCCCTCTTTTAGGCACCCCTGCCATCCCCATAAATGGAACAAATTAGATGCCATGGGTCAACGGAAAGAGTTGGAACTGAGCTCCAACTCCCTGTCTTCCAGAGGCAGGGGAAAGGGTAATGAGAGGAAGGAGGGAAGTGTTCGGGAGTTCACATGCTGGCGTTTTCTTTTCCATTTCCAGCTTTTAAAGAACATCTGCATCTTTGAACCGCCGAGGTCACGGGACGAACAGCCGGAGCGCAGCGTCGCACCGCACCCCCCCTCCGCGCCCTTGCCCAGGCGGAGGCTGCCGACGCGCCTGCGTGCGCGCTCCTTATAAATAGGTCCCAGGCGGCGGCCACTGGGCAGAACCCGGCTGCGGGCGCCGCGGGCCATGGCGGGCAGGGACGACCAGTGGCAGGGCAGCATCCTCTACAACATGCTTATGAGCGCGAAGCAAACGCACGCGTCTCCGGAGGCGCCCAAGGCGCGGCTGGGGGGTCCGTGCTGGGGCTGCTCATGCGGCGCTGTGCCCGGGGTGGGCAGAGAGGGGCTGCCGGGCGGGCGGGCCGTGGCGCTCCTGTACCGCTGCTGCTTTTGCGGTGAAGACCACCCACGGCAGGGCAGCATCCTCTACACCTTGCTCACAAGCGCAAAGCAAACGCACGTGGCTTCAGAAGCTCCCGAGGCGCGGCCAGGCGGTGCGTGGTGGGAGCGCTCCTACAGCGCGCAGAGGCTGGCGGGTAGAGAGGGGCAACCGGGCGGGCCGGCCTTGGCGCTCCCGTACCGCTGCTGCTTTCCTGGTGAAGACCTCCCGCGTCGGGGCTTCATCCCTTATGGCATGCCCACAAGCGCAAACCAAACCCACGCGGCTCCACAGGCGCAGCCGGGGCCCCCCTGGTGGCACACCTCCTGGTACGTGCAGCGGCCGGTGGTCCTCAAGAGTCCACAGGTGGTTTGGGAGGCAGCCTCGGCAGGCCTGTTGAAGACGCTGCGCTTCGTCAAGTACTTGCCGTGCTTCCAACTGCTGCCCCTGGACCAGCAGCTGGTGCTGGTGCGCAGCGGCTGGGCGCCCCTGCTCATGCTCGAGCTGGCCCAGGACCGCTTCTACTTCGAAACGGTGGAGACCTCGGAGCCCAGCATGCTGCAGAATATCCTCGCCACCAGGCGGCGGGAGACCGCAGGCGACGAGCCACCGTCCCTGCCCACGCTGCAGCCACATTTGGCACTGCCGCCGGAGGCCAGGCACTTGCCCTCCGCAGCAGATGTCCAAGCCATCAAGAGCTTCCTTGCCAAGTGTTGGAGTCTGAGCATCAGTACCAAGGAGTACGCCTACCTCAAGGGGACCGTACTCTTTAACCCGGGTAAGGGACCGGTCTTGGGCTCCAGCTTTTCCCAATTCAGAAAAGTGCTGGGCAGTGTCTACCCCGGGGCGCAGGCACTAAGGAGTTTTCAGTGATCAGAGGAGTGTCGGGGAATAGGTGAAGAATCGAGAATAACTCAGCAGAGTTGAGGAGGAGGGCGGTCCAGGAACCATTCCTGGTGGGTGGGCTGCTGCCAGAATCTCAGCTGAGTGAAGGGGGGTTGTTTGTTGAGGTTTGTACTTAGTTCTCTGCACATTTCTTTACTACAGAAAAGTTTGTGCTTTCATGGGACGTGGCTATTCCTTCTTTTCTAGTTTTTTTTTTTAAATCCAGCAGCATATCTTTAAAAAGTTTTTGCTCACTGCAAATTCTGTAACATTTCTTTCTGCAACCCCGTTCTGAAATTTACTAGAACCTTTTTGTTGGAGGAAATCTATTAAGGCTGGCAAAAAAGGAAACATTTGTTAAGGTCTCCATAGAGAGACCATCCCCGGGAGTCAGACAGAACACTGGACCTAGTGTTTCAAGGGTCTGCCTCTGAATGGTCATTTGTATGATCCTTAGCATCTGGCTTATCCCGTTCTCCAAGTCTCTGTGAATATTAGGTTGGCAAAGAGGCAGGAGAAAGACACAGTAGGGACCGAGAGCAGGAGCACTGTATTTTAGAACTTGAAGAGACCTTAGAAACCTCCTAATCAATCCCTCTGTCCTGCACCCTTACCCCACCACATTTTACAGAGTAGGTAGCCGAGTCCCAAAGGACCTTACTCCAGAATAAATGGCTGGTGTGTTGAGGCACTGGGTGTCCTATCTTCTGGGCCCAATGGGATGTCAGCTGCACCACACTTTTCACGTTGTGTGTTGGGTGCTGGACATTGGCTCACCCAGTGCAAGCAAATCATGGGTGAACTCTCTGGACAGGCTGGCACGTTGTCTCGGGTGTGTTCTACTACTAAAATCATCTTCAATCAGTATCCTAAAAGGGGCGCAACTGGGAAGGAAGTGTCCAGGCAACTTGAGTTGGGATAGTTTTTATAATGCTCCTTCTACATCCTTTTTCCCTGGTGGCAGGAGTCTCTGGTTATGTCCCTGCTCCCTGCTTAGCATTTTTTTTTTTTTTTTTTTTTTTTGAATGGGTTTCGAGCAGTACTTAGTGGGATAATACTCTTAATTCATTCAGACCTCAGGTTTCAGGACTTAAACACCTCAGCTCATCTCCGTTACTGTTGTCAGTCTGGTCACTCTTTTGTTTATACCATTGTTTTGCAAACTTGCCTGCGAATAAGAGGCCCTTGTCTGTGTGGTGGGGGTCGAGGGGTGGGGGGAGGTTGTGAATAGCGTTTCCGGGCTTACCTAGTCCTTCCAGAATTTCCCCTAGAAATTCTGATTCAGGAGCTCTAGCCCAGGGTCTGCAAATCTGCATTTGTAATAAGCGTCTCAGGTGATTTTAAGATCATTTGGAAAAGTTTTCGCCTCCTTTAGCCTGTGTTATTAATCAGTCGTCTGCTATGTGTCCTATTCTGTTGGGATACATAGGTGAGACAGGGGCTCAGCTTCCAGGAATGTACATTAGTTTCTCTTTTTTTCCCTTAATCCTGTTTTGCATACTTTTGTTACACGTACATGCACTCACACACACCACTCCCCCACCCCTCCTTTTCCCACCTCCCCTCCCTTATTCTTGCACTGCTCTTCTGAATCCTCTCTCAGTGAATTCAACCAGCTAAGCTGAGTGGGTTTGAAACACAAATGCACCTGCATTTTGGGAAAAGGTAATGCCTACTAAGTGTGTGGCCTTTCTTTGCTGTTTATCCTTTTGTATTCCCTTATCTTTATGTTTAAATACATAGATATATATAAATAATACATTATTATTTACATATAGACATGTGTGCGTTTAAACATAAAGATAAAGAGATACATAAAACTAGAGTCCATCAGCCTTTTCTCTTTCTTGACTGTACCTTGAAGGCAAGTCTTTTTGGGAAAAAGCCACTTTTGCGGGGGTGGGGTGGAGGGGTGTGGTGTAAAAGCAGAGAAAAATAATGTGGAGTTCACAAGATGAAGTTCTCACAAATCACGAATCTAGACCTAGAGGAACTTCAGATTTCTGGAGGAGTTTCATCAGTGGAATTCAAACGCAGTAAAGTTGGGTCTCAAGCCTGGTTACTGAGCTGTAGGTAGTAGGGGATGTTAATGCACGGACTGGGGCAATCAGAATTGAAATATGGATTGGAAGTGTTCCTATCGTTATTTTATTTATCAGATTTGATATTGGCCTATCATAGGAGTGCCTCTCACCTATTGCCATTATTATGTTTTAAATAACACTGTCTGGTTCTGCTACTCTGTGATGATTAACATAGTGCTTTTCAAATGTTTTCTGTTTGTTTGTTAAATTTTATAGAAAAAGAGAAGGAAAGTGATTGCAGTCTTCACTGGCATCATTTAAACCAAATGGTAAACTGCTAATTGATTGAATACAAGTTAAAGAACTCGGTCATGGAGGATCAAAGGACTTTGAAAAGCAGCCTCCTCTTACCATCTTCTTAATAAAACTTACATGCACTTAATCCTTCTTGCATTGTATTTCATTAACTTTTACTTAAGTATCACACTGTATTGCAGTAAGGTTGTGTATTTCCTATTAGAAAAGTTGCTTATGAACCGTTTTGCAACCCATGATATTTTCATGTTTTCTTTTTAACCTTTTAATGGCTATAAGGGAATGCTTTCAAAACCTCACTTTCTAAAAAAGCCTTTTGGAATACTCATTAGAATCATTCTCTCTCTCTCTCTCTGCCCCTCCCCCCCCCCCCCCCCCCCCCCCACCCCCCCCCCCCCCCCCCCCCCCCCCCCCCCCCCCCCCC